ACGGGCTGTCGCTGAAAGGCAGGGCCCGGTGCTGGTGGGACGGGAAAGCGCTCGGCCCCAGCGGGGATCCCTGTGAGGAAGGAAGATGGGTCTGTTTTGCAAAGGGTGTTGGCTTTTTGGCAGTGGGGGCTTATTGTGAGCGTCGATTCCCCTGGCATGGCGTGGTGGTTATCAAGGGACAACTGTGATTTTTCTCAGTATCTCCACCTCTGTTTTAAACCTAGGTTTGAAAGTGTGGTGGTAACCAGCCTTTTATATATAGCTTACTATGAGGAACAGAAGTTGAGTCATCTCTCCTGTCAGACATCCTGCTTTGAGTACTTTGGGAGTAGCTTTGCTGTGAGCGTGTGGCCTCTGACAAAGTGAAGGAGAAGAGCTAGAAATAGCTGCTTCCAAGTTCATAGAGTCACAGAATGGTTTGGGTTGGAAGGCAATAAGGTCCCTTTCTAAGGGACTAAGATTATCAAATTCCAACCCCCCCTGCCATGAGCAGGGACACCTTCCAATAGACCAGATTGCTGAAAGTCTCATCCAACCTGACCTTGGACACTTCCAAGGAGTGTTGTTGGGAGAGTTGTCCAAGTGTGACATACTTGCACCTGGAAGTCAGATTGGTGACCATCCAGAGTGCTTAGTGTGCCATCTGGGAGGTGAAGCCTTTTCATCCTATGGATAGAGACACTGAAGTAGAAACTTTGGGCAGGGGAAAGATCTGAGTGGTTAGTCCAATCAAGTTAGCACGTAGGAGGCAGAGTGTCCCTTGGTCCTTCTCTCCATTTTTGGTTTCAAAGTCCAGGGATAATGTTGTGATATGTAGCCTCTCCTTGGAGGCATCTTCTAGGAGTGGCCAGTTAGGAAGCAACACAGCTGGAGAGACTTCTTTTAGACATCCAGTATGTTTGTACTGTTCTGGGAATATTTGAAATTATCAAAACATTTAGAGGGGCAGGATATAGGATGCTAAAGTTGCAGTCTTGGGGGTGGGGGAGGAAGGACAATTCTCAGCCCTTGGAAGCTTAGCACTCTTTGCATTACATCTTGCTATGATACCCTATAGGTATCATAGATGCCTATTGGCAATCTGTGACTCCGAGCAATTTGGTCATTTTAATTATGTAAAGTATTGCCCTGACAGGTACCAACTGGAGCTTTCAGGACAAGCGTAGCACTACTTTGATTTTTCTCCTCCCTTCTTATGGCTGTATCCAAGAGGATGAAGTGCTCAGCAGGGTGGGGGAAGCTGGCTCCTTTAAGGAGGCTACAACCATATTGGGTACTGGCCATCAGCGTTTATTTTTGTAGGGGTCCCACGTGTAGGTCTGGGACTTGCCACCTTCAGAATGTGCCCCTGGATCATCTGTTCCTTTTGATCTTGTGAGTCAGCAAACGCCGGAGGGGCAAGGGGAGGCGTGGAGTCATCAATGCCCACGTTGGGGGGTATTCTCTTGACTCGGTGTAGTTTAGCAATACAAATTGCCTTAGTTTCCAACTGAAGTGTGTTTGTTGTGGTAGAGGTATCTGCGGATGGTAGGAAAAAATAAGCAGCTTATCTGGTGGTGGATTATTTCATTTTGGGAATCTCTTTGTACTGACGCCAGAGGAAGAGGATTAGTGGTGACCTGTAATGGGCATGGTAGGAAAAGCTTCAGAGATTGCTACAGCTGCTGTGGCTGCTCTTGGATGCTGAGCCTTTCTTAGTGGCATGGCCTCCTCCTATTTTTCTGTCACATGATATCGATGTGCTCCGTAGCAAATAGCAATTGCACCTGACTTTATGTGGCCCTTAGTGCTGATCAAGGGCTGGAGGCCTGTCATTCTCTTTAGGTGGTCTTTTGTTGCTAGTTTTCTCTGTAAAATTGCCTGTGCTTGTTTTTTTTCCTTAAGCCCACCTCCTGACATTTCCCAAATTAGACTGAAAGTATTGGTTCATAAATACCCTTCTTATTCTACTTGGAGAAGGAGAATTGGCTCGTGAGTGTGCATTGACTTAGCCACGATTAATTTTTAGTGCTTTACTTTGTTTTTTTTTTTTTTTCATCTTTTAAGTACAGGATGAATTATGGGGTCTGACTTAGGAAATTATCTGAGTGACCTGACTTGTCTTCATGCTTAATGTCTAACTTGGTATTCAAAGTTCAAGTTGAAGTCTGTGGTTGAAAATTACAAAGATGTTTTCCAGGAGCTGAAGTCTAGCGGCTGCAGTGGTGTTGAGAGATTGTAGTGCTTGGATTTGAATATCTGTGAACAGGATATGCTTATTAAAGAGTTTTTCCTGGGTTTGTTTTTTTTGTCCTGTTATAGTTAACTGCTCGTTATTCATGCAGACCCTTCTGAAGGGGCGAGCTGAATGTTATCTCTAGAAAAAGGGCAGATAAGCCCTGTTTGTTGTAGGAGCTGATTCGTAAGAAATATAAATCAGTGTGGATAGTTACAGCTGATGTAACCAGTTCTGTGGAATCCAGCAAAGGTGTGCCAGTTCACATCAGCAGCAAATCCCTCTCCCTGACTCGTGCCACCCTCCTGTACTGCTGGACAAAGTGGGCTCGTCTGCTGTCTCTGCAGAAAGCCTGGTGAACTTCTCCAGAGCGCCCATCAGTACATTCAGTGCGTCTAGAAGCAGCACTGGGCAGGGAGCTGGATGCTTTATTATAATTGTGTGTCTGTGTAGGAAGCAGCAGCAAAGTAGCCCTTTAAGCCATTCTCCAGAGAGGTGTATTTTCAGAGAGGACTGATGAGAAGCATTAGCAGCTGTCATCCACTGCAGAACTCTGCCTTTGTGCAAGGTGGAGAGCGTGAGCTGTTCTCGTGCGAGGTATGAAGGAAGATAGGCGTTGGTGTCCTTGTTGCTTGGTTGTGCGTTCTTGTACACCTGTTGTTGAGTCCGTGGTCATCTTCTCAATGTTTCGGATGATATAAAGAGGCTACTGTTTTTGTTCATAAAGCAGTGGTTGAAACGTTCACAAAAACAACCACCTTATTTTTATTCTCTTCTGACTCCCACCCCTTCTCTCTCACACGCCCCTAGCAGCCATCGGACTTCATTTTGCACAGCCCGGAGTTGCAGTTACTGAAGGCAGTGTGAGATGACACAGCTGAAAGTTCCCAGCCGTAGTCTAGTGCCGAAGTATTAGTCAGCACGGCATGAAGATTCACTTCTTTCCAGGTAGCTTTCACCCATAGTAATGTTTCTTGCTTCTAGAATGACTAGGACAACAGGGGTGACATCTGTCCTTGGTTGCACGGTGTCCTAATTTCCTATCTAGCATACAATGTTGCTTCATGATGCACAAATACAAACTTCTGGATTTTTCCTCCTTTGCCACAACAGTCTTAAAAGCCTCATTTTTTGCAACCCTTCAGTGTTTCTTGGTATCTCTAATTTATAATGTCTAACCTTAATGACTATGACTGGAATTTAAACTTCTGTTCTCTCTTGAGAGCACATATTTGATGCAGAAATAACGTCCTGGAGTCTAAAATTCTACAGTAGTGGTGGTGTGATTTGAGATTTGTGCTGCACATAGGAAATACCAGACAGCTATTTAAAAATATCAGAAAGGCTTTTTTTCTTTTTTTTTTTTTTTTTTTTTTTGACTTTTCCAGCTTAAGTTGAGGGAGCTGACTGAGGTGATGTGGTTGATGAAATTTGTTCATAACTTGACTGTCTTTTGCTTTAGAGCATGTTTTTTGTTTGCAGAGTTTGGCCCTCAGCAGTGGCCCTTGTGTACTCTGTTCTCTGGAGCAGCTACTGGCTTCTGATTCGTAGCCTGGGCTAGTGGCCTTTGAGCTGCACTTCCAGCAGCGTCATCAAATATGCTTAAAATAATGAATCAGTCCATGAAACCGTGAGTCTTGTGCATGCAGAAGGGGACAGAAGGATGTTGTAAGGGTTCTTTTCCCTACTTGATACTCTGGCATTGGAAACCGCCCTGCTGATTTTGCTGTCTTTGTAGGAATTGTACAAATGAAGAAGGGAAGGGGAGAGAGCTGTCTGAGCTTATCTGTGCAAAGCTTAGAGGTGCTTGTTTGTACCAGATTAAAGAACCATTTAATTGTCTAACTGGTGTTGTCAAGCAGCCCTTAATTTGTAAGCAGTTGAGGATACAGCAAGGGTCCCAGGTGAGCAGTCTTTCAGTACTGGTTGCAGAATGGTTAGAGCTGGTGTGACAGGGCAGGGAGAGAGGTCACCCAGCAAAGCTGAGAGGGAGCAGTGTTTCCACAAACCAAAGCTGCTGGGAGCGCGAGCAGCGCTGCAGCCTTTCTGCTTTGTGCAAGGCCAGATAAATAACAGTGAACATGACGTTTTTATCGGATGAAAGCCCTGGAGTTAATGCAGATCAGAAGCTATTTTGCAGGCCCTTCTGCCGGCTTGATAACCTTTGTGTGGTAAGCTGGGTCGCCTTTCAGCA